AGACACGAATTAGCCACAACTTTACCTATTCGTCGAAAGCCTTAAGCATTCATAGCGGATTTGATCGATTCGAGCAGCTCTGGCAGCTTCCAAACTTTTGGAAGCTTCCGTGACTTCGTCTACTGAAAGACGATCATCCGTCGCCAGCTGTTCTTCAGGCAAGTCTTCTGTCGGTTGCTCAGGGTGAACAAGTTCTTCAAAACTCTTCATCGCCGAGGAATGTCCTTATCCTCAGTAGAAGTCAGTAAGTTCTTAACAGAATAGTATAACAGAATAGTTTGTGCCGTCTGGAAATTCGTTTTCAGCGATCAGCAAAGTTTTCTCGGGAATTAGATTTCGCTGCTTCCTTGCGCACCTATTAGTTTTGCACTCGAGTTGAAATATCTTTACTTCCAAACCACCTCGTGAATGCAATTTTCTTCTCGCTGACAACCAGCTTAACCTCCGGAGTCTATCAGGAAGTTATTCTATTCTGAGACCGCAAGGAGGCAGGCCAACCCGTTTTAAACTACATTGTTCGGCGGCAGCCCAGAGTATGTTTCTTTTAAAGAGCTGCCACTCGGTTTTCACATCAGCTGTCATCACCGGGGTGTGTTCAAACCGTTGGGCGATGTTGTTTGCAAATTTCGCTCTCGTGTCCACCGATGGTAATGTTTCCCATTTGATTTTCTGGTTGCTTCTGCCACCAGATCTTCGTATGGTACTCCATTTCTTACAGCGCAGCGTGCGAACAACAAGGTAGTGATCGGTTGATAGTTCTGTGACTCTTTTAACGCAAAAATTAATTATAGAACGCCTTAAGTCAGACGATACGATTACCAAATTGATCATCGCCTTCTGTGCACAAGCTTCCCGTTACCAGGTATATTGATGCACTCTTCGATACTCAAAGAGGGTGCACATAACACGTCCGTTGCTTGTACAAAACCGTAGCAACTTCATGCCGTTACTGTTCAGGTCGTTAGGTCCATTCTTGCCAATCACGCCTTTCCACTTTCCAGTGTCTTCTCCGGTATGCGCATTAAGTCGATCATTAGAATAACGAATCATGTAGTCGACACTTCGTAGAGAACACCTATTATTTCCTTCAAAAATGACTCATATTCTCTTTAGAAACTGGGTGCCTAGACTGCAAATAGGCTTAAGCCTTAGTCTGTTGCAACTTCAGTCGGAGAACTGCCACTCTTCTGTTCGCAGGCTTCCATGAAGTGATACTGTCAGCCAGGTTGGGTCCTACTAAACTAACAACACCATCTGAGTGCGCGTCATGATGTCGATACCTGAGTAGAATAGCTTCCACCCACAGAATTCAGAATTCCAGAGTCTTAGCGCTTCGTTGAAGAGAGTCCACTCATGTCCAGTTTATACCTTACGGTCTCGTCAACTAATTTCTCTTTCCCTCTGGGTGTGAGGATGCTAAAATTTTCGAGTGTGAGCTCTCTCTGATGGCACTGTTCCGGCAGAACCTTATCTAGCGTACTATGATCACAACCGATATCGCTGAAAAGAAAACGTTACCAGCATTGCTGGCAGTCCTCGTCGGAAGGAGCACTAAATCGAAACCGTAGATCCATATTCCACGGCATAACCAAAATGACCAGACCTCACATAGCAGGAATTTCGACAACTTCCTTAAAAATATCTGCGGGCTACAGAAACTTGTAATATCGTACCCTACATTTCCACTGCATTAAAATTTGCAGATGTTTCGACATAGAGCTTACAAATACATGCATCATATGACTCAATGTGGTAAATAACATTATACTGAAATATTCAGATTTTTAAATACTGGCTCCTGAGAGAGGGTCCCGAAAATCAATTATTCAAGAATCTCGTTGTCGCCAAAGAACCTCGGTGGCGGGCCATACTTAAACGGAAGAAGCGATCATGCAGTGTAAATCGGGAAAAGTGACAAGTGCATGTTATTCAAACTAGCGGCATAGAAAATTAACTCCTGCCAGTAAACTCAGAATATAATAGGTATTTCTGCTTATACGCAGACCAGCTGACATAGAACTAGCAGCAGACGTGCTAACGGATTACTGCATGATTTCGCAAAAAATGATGGAGCTTTTGCAATTCATGCAAAGCAGGTGCCACAATTCCATTAAACTGTGACCAACTTAAGTGGTCTCTTCGGAGTGCTACTGATGTCGTGAAAACTGACGCGCAGAAGAGCCACACGCTGTTGCTCGGACCAATCCCTTGGGCTGTTTGAATGAACAAAGCGAATCCGATAGGCAATGCCCACTGCTTCCTTCCTAAAGTTTTCAGTGCTTATTACAAGGCACCGACTACAGAAATGTAGGAGTAATTCTTCCTAAACACAGATCTGCCAAAATATTGTTCATTAATGAAGCATTACAGTTTCCTGGTGACCTATCGTATACCGGGTTGCACAAAGGGAATCTCGCGGACTGAGTGATAAGTTCACACTCAACAAATGTGCCAAATA